ACACCAAAAACACAGTGGAAGCAGAAAACTGAATGAAAACACTCATGGTGTACATTACTAGTCAGAACTAAAGAAGGGAATTTGATCATACACCAAAATCACTGCCTAGGCATAACAACGTAACTGAGATAAAAAAAAGCAGCGGATACTGAGTTGGCTCTAAGTGGCTTGGAAAAAAAAAACATTTATGATGCTAACTTACAGTGAACAGCCACTCTGACTTCAGCAGGTACAATAAGACATGGGATCAAAAAGATACTGTTTTTTTTTCAAATTAAAAAAAAAAAATATTTAATCACATGATTACAGACCGAGTTCTATACTGTTGAGCAGTGAACACAAGAGACATCTCATTGATGACGGGGACAACGCGACACAACAGGTTGATTTCTCATTTGTTAGCCCTTTGATAGATAGATCAGTGGGATTCCTGTAGTCAGGTGTAAAGTCAGCATGTCATGTGTGGAGCAGAGGATAATGAACATCTAATCAGAAGTCAGAACTTACGTCTACGGTGGCAATGAAGATTCCTGGAAGCTTTACCAGGGAGCTTCTTCCACCTTGTAAAGTGGTGTAGCCTTTCTGAACCCCCAGAGGAAGAGTGTTTTCCTATAAGCACTGCAGCAGTGTGCCTGCCTCGAATAAATGCCCTTTTTGCTCTAGGAAAGAGCATTATCAGACTCTCCTTCCTAGTGGGGCATCTACTTCTGCCCTTGCTACTGTTGCTTTCATGCCCTTTCTGTGAGAAAGCAGGGCCATTACATTCGCACAGAAGCGAAGAGAAAATTTCCTCCCTTGGAAAGCTCTGTGTTTGTCAGGAGGTATTTTACTCCAGTCAAAAATAAAACTGTTTTAAAACCTATACAGACACCAGGCTAACAGGCACCACGGATAGTACGTAGTGTGAGCACTAATATCTGGTAAGAACACCTTCCTGGATTCAGTTTGTGCTGTTACTGTCATATAGAGGAACAGTGGTACGGGTATTCAACAGCAAGGCTGAGACGACATTTATATTTTGCTTAAATGCAAAAGCAGTCAAAACAGGCCTTTATCAGATCATCTCTGGCATGACAGTATGGTCAGCTAAGTTACAGTTAATTTTAAACACCTTCCGGAACCTGTCCTCCTTCCTGCTGCATATGTGCCAAATCCATAGTCTAAAATAATAATGCCAGAATCATGACTAACTGATCAAATATAAGAAATTATAGCAACCATTTTCTGCTTTCAAACACTAGAGAATTTTTGTTACAGACTCTATAATAGAGTCTTCTCAAGTTAAACACAAATGCTGTCTTAATTTTGATTTGAAACAGAGCTGCACTGTAGTACAGCAAAATCTGTGTATACAGCTCTACACTTGTTTCAACAAAGTCAAATGATACTTGCTGGATGGAAATTAAATTTCATCATCAAAAATCAGAAGTTAACATTTCTTCTATATATTTCTTCAAGAAGTTTAATCCTCATGTCTTGTTTTGCCATAGCTTTAGCTATTTTCCTGTGTCACCTACAGTTCATAGCCCCAAAGGCGCACCACTCTGTCATGACTAAACATTTTCTTGCTCTCCTTTGCAAGCATCTCTGCATCCTGTCAGGCCAGTAAGTGCTTTCACCATTCCAGTGCAGAAGTCAATCCCATCCTCTTTCTGAATCTTACACTGCACACATGTTCCTTTTAATTTTTTTTTTCCTTACCCCTCCCCTCCACCAAATGTAAGATGAAGGCTTTTTTTAATTATTTTATCAAGATGTCTTTAGAAATGCTTGACTTTTAACTCCACATAGAGATTTCCAGGGGGTATCAGCAGTTTTAGACTAAAAAAACTATTTACACTGTTCCTTTACACAAAAATGTTGCACATTTCTTAATGACACCAACAAAAGCAGACACAAAAAATTCTTTAGGCTTTAAAAAATTAAATCCAAGGACACTACCAAGTTCATTTCCACTAGGAACTCAGTTCAGTCTTGCATTGTTATATAGGGGTCATCAGCTGGAAACTGCACAAGATGCACAGGATATACCTTTAAATTATTCATAATCACCTTAAACTGCACTCAATCAACATTGCAATATGTCATCTTACAGACACAGAAAAGTTCAAAAGGAAAAGCACATGAAAAAGCAGACTACCAAGAGAACTATTGTTAAAACTACACCAGAAAGCTTAATATTTCAATACTGTATATGTTAAAATAAACAACATACACAGGTGATGAAAGCCAGTCTCTGAAAAATTTATTATTCTGTTAGAACAAGTTTATACTTAGGATGAATTCTCAAGCTTCATGCCATTAGGAAGTTTTACTGGGTTTATAGTGGAAATAAAAACAGAAATAAAAATAGATGACAATCCAAAAATACAGGCTGTACTTTGAATATGATCAATGGACTTTCTTTTCCATCTATACATTCTCTTGCCTCTAGCAATCCAATTTTATTCACTCTTCATGAGCAGTTCCCTAAATTGCCTGTTATCCTTTTTACAATCAAATGTTTTGAAAGATAAAGTCGAACAGACTAACATAACTTGTATTTGTCCAGTATCATTTTCCAAAAGTCATCCTATGAATTTTACAGCTTTCAAGGACTGATGTCAGTTAGAGTCAAAGGATCCTCCCCCCTACTCCCCACCTCCTCCATAATCTTACTCTGTCTTCCAAAAAAAGTTGACCATAATCTCACTTTCTTTTCCTATGCATGCTGTAAGTACTCATCCAACTGAAGTGAGAGGGCCTTGGCATCTATTCTATGGGTAACATGGGCATAAAGGAGATGTGGATGGCTATTAGGATGATTCATTTTAAAAGCAGTAGAGCTTTGCCTAGTGAATTTGCACTTGACATTCCAAAATTAAACTCTAGAACTGAACTGGTTTGTACACAACGTAACAATACACAACGAAACAGGGAGCACTGATTGTTTTAAGCTTCAAATTATAAAGTAGTAGTAACAACAGTATTTATTCTTCATTGGATTCGTAACTACTGGCAATTCAATTGTGTTAAATATGAACAGAAGAAATTATATAGTGTATTTCATAATTTTAAAGAACTTGAAATAGTTCCCATTCTGACTCACTCTGACCACGCTGCATTTACATGAAATGTTCAAATTTGCCTCACTGTTAATTTTTACACACTGGACAATGTAACAACAATTGTCATTTAATGTACAGCATTACTTTTACCCTCACCCACTTTGATGCGATTGTCCTCTGCCTGTTATCCAGATGAGTAACTGATTTCAATATGAAGCTTTATGAGTTACTGCTTAATGTATTTAATACCTCAAACAGGGTAACATCATGCCCGTCTTTAAAAAGGGTAAAAAAAGAAGATCCTGGGAACTACCAACCTGTCAGCCTCACCTCTGTGCCTGGGAAGATCATGGAACAGATCATACTAGAAGACGTGTTAAGGCACATGGAGGACAGGGAGGTAATCCTAGGTAGTCAGCATGGATTTAGTAGGGGCAAGTCCTGCCTGACCAACCTAGTGGCCTTCTACAATGAAGTGACTGCATCAGTCAACAAGGGAAGACCTATGGATATTTTGTCTATCTGGACTTCTGCAAGGCCTTTGGCACTGTCCCCTGACAACATCCTAATCTCCAAATTGGGGAATTACAGGTTCAGTAGGTGGACTGTTCAGTGGACACAGAACTGGCTGGATGGCCACATCCAGAGAGTGATGGTAAGTGGTTCAGTGTCCACATAGAGGATGGTGATGAGTGGTGTCCCTCAAGGGTCTGTGCAGGGACCAGTGCTGTTTAATATCTTCATTAATGATATTGATAGTGGCACTGAGTGCACCCTCAGCAAGTTTGCGGATGATACCAAACTGGGTGGTGCAATTGATATGCCAGCGAGACAGGAGGCCATCCAGAGGGACCTGGATAGGCTGGAGAGGTGGGCCCAGATGAACCTCATGAGGTTCAACAAGGCCAAATGCATGGTCCTGCACCTGGGCCAGAGTAAACAGCCCTATCAGCATAGGCTGGGAGAGGGTCTACTGGAGAGCAGTCCTGTGGAAAGTGACTTGAAAGTGCTGGTGGATGATAAACTGGACATAAGCCAACAATGTGCAATTGCAGCCCAGAAGGCCAATCACATCCTGGGTTGCACCAAAAAAACTGTGGCCAGCAGATGGAGAGAGGTGATCCTGCCCCTCTACTCTGCCCTGGTGAGACCTCACCTGGAGTGCTGTGTCCAGCTCTGGAGCCCCCAGCACAAGAAGGACGTGGAGCTGTTGGAGTGTGTCCAGAGGAGAGTCACCAAAATGATCAAGGGATTGGAGCACCTCTCCTATGAAGACAGACTGAGGGAGCTGGGGCTATTTAGCCTGAAGAAGAGAAGGCTCTGGGGCTACCTTATAATGACCTTCCAATACATGAAGGGGCCTACATGAAGGCAGGGGGAAGGTCTATTCAAAAGGGTTTGTAATGATACGACAACGAGTAATGGTTTTAAACTAGGAAAGGATAGATTCAGACTCAGTATTAGAAAAAAATTATTTAATATAAGATTAATAGATCATTGGAATGGACTGCCCAGGGAGGCACTGGATGACCCAACCCTGGAGTCACTAAAAGGCAGGCTTGATAGGGCCCTGTGTGACCTGACCCCAGTAGAGGTGACCAGATGACCTCTACATGTCCCTTCCAGCCTAAAACACCCTATGATTCTATAATTTTTAATTACTTAAGAATCAACAAGACATTACAGACTTTTTACAAGCATCGCATCTTAAAGGAATACTATATAATTATATTTAATATAGGTATGTGGCTGATTTGCAAAAAACACAAACAAAAAAAAACCCAAACACCAGACTGCCAAAAGTTTTTGCTCAGTGTTTTGAACTGAATAATGAAGGGCACACTGACTGATCAGTTGTAGAAAGGCAGAAGAAATATTACGTAGTTTGCCTAAATATAAGTATAAAAGTACCAAAATGTATTTTATCAGCTTCAACATTCAACACTTGTTATATTAGAAGCATATATTGATATCAAACACTGGACTTACACTCATATTCCTGTCCCAGATCTGGATGGAGCCATCTTGACAGCCAGCTGCAATAAGTTTACCATCTCTGCTGTATGTGCAAGTTGTAGGAATCACCCGTTTACCTTGAACTGATCGTGGTTTAAATATGCTTTTGTGCTTTTTTTCATTGTTAACATCCCAGGTTCTCACAGTTCTGGAAAAAGGTTTAAACAAAGAGTTGTTTTAGATAAAGTTAATGCATATGAAATAATTCTTCTTTGAATATAATCAAACACCTTCTCTAGTATAAATGGCATATAATATTATTCAAATAAAGTTGTCATGGCAAAATAGCATTTAAGATATAGTACTGCAGCCAAGAAACTAACATGGCAACTTTCCAAGACAGACACATCCTATTACTAACATGTATATGAAGGTTAAAAAAAAAAAAAAAAGAAAATCACTTCTTCACAAACTCTTATGTAAATACATGAGATTATTTACAATTGCACAAATGACGAAAGGTTAACATACAGGTACTACACAGGTACTACATAATCTCCACGGTCACTGCAAATCAGGAAGATGAAAATATTCAGTGCTTTACAAGAACAGAGACTGTAGGAAACAAGCATGAATGCTTATACAAATTCATTAACTGAACAGACTGTTTTAATTGTTCCACATCATAAGAATGGACAAAACTGCTCTTAACTGTCAGTATTGCAGACTGTCTGGTTATTATTCTTTTCTTTGTCTTAAAAATGCATTCTAAATAATTCATTGCAATAATATTGTAGTTTTCTTCCAATAATCCTGTAGGTCTTACAGTTCTGTTCTACAAGTGTTCTTCATGTACTTTATAAAGACTAATTTATGTAATATTGTTCTTTCACGTGGAGTTTTTCCCACGTTATCAGCAAAATAAATACATACTTTTTTTTTTTAATGGAAAAAGAATATCTGCCTGGATCTTTAGTGTTTCTTAGATACATAAAAACATCAAAATGAGAGAGAACCAAAACACTGAGATACAGGTGGACTCTTTAAACTGTCTTTGATTCAAATGTTTTCTGTCCATTTACTATATTGAGTTTCTTCCAGATAAAAAATTCAAACCTCTTCTGGCATCTAATGCAGAGAAGAGTTTCAGGATTTGGCAAAGGAAGGAAAACCATTCATTTAGAAAGAAAAAAAATCACTAAGTTTGTGACCATCTCATTTTTTCAGACTATACAAACATTGCCTATGATACAACAGCATGTAATTCACTGGCGTCTACCAAATCAAGTACCATCTCAGCAAGGCTTCCATTTCTTCAGAACAAGACAAGACACTGTGACACAACAGTAGCAAATTCCACCACATCTACAAGACCAAACAGGCTACAGAGCCAACCAATACATAATTCTAGGGGTCACCTAAATAAATCCATGCTGCTATATGGAGAATGTTGCCCAGCAAGGTCAACGAGTCACCTTTCTTGGAGTTATTCAAAATCTGTCTGGTCACAGCCTTGTTCTAGGTCTCTAGGTGTCTTTGAACAGTATGGTTGGATTAGAGGATCTTCACAGGTTGCTTCCATTCTCAACCCTAACATGATTCAGAGATTCCCCTTTTCCTCTCTATGTGCTGTCAAGAACCATCTCAGTCTCCTACCTTTCAACAGCCACAATGACACTTTCTCCCAGTCTTGTATTTACTTAAAACTTGAGCCTTTTCCCAGTCTCTTTCCCCCACAACATTGAATCTTTCCAGAATCTCATTTAAATACCCTGTGCCTCCAGCTTCTCTTCACCTCCTGTAAAGATTATCTCCCGCTGGAAAGCTGCTGCTTTTCTTACAGTGCAAGTTTCCCAGGACTGCCCTGGCATAACCACTTCTCAGGTGAGATACCTGGTGACATGGCTTTGTGCAGGGAAGAGCAAAGCTCGCCTCTCAGTTTGCCTTTTTATCTAAGATGCCTCACAAACATTTCAGCTGCAATTCCAATAACAACCTCTGAGAATCCTTCACCATCCCAATTCTTCATTTCTGCTAGCACAAAAAGGCTTTTTTTAAGCCTTCAGTCTCCTCTTTTTAGGGCTTAATGTGTTGTCAAAACCCCAGGCACAACACTATAAGGCATATTCAAACCTTCTTATTCATTTTACCTATCAACTGTGAAGAGAGCAATAACACTTGTATAGTTCTAGCTCTTATAACACAGATCAAAGAAATACAAGCCATAAATCAACTGTAATACCAGGAGGTCAGTTAAAAAAAAAAAAAAAACAAGTTTCCTGAGCTGCTGTTTCTGCTGCAGAGAGTTGGCTACACTCGCTCACATAGGAGTTATATGCCCTCTATAAAATGCTCACAAAGCCTATGGTAAATGTTTAACATCACTGATATGTTTTCTTAATGTCCCCACACTGAATGTATTTTTACTGTTTTCTTGCTGCTACAGGATCTAAGTATAAAACCTTCCTTACATTTAAAAAAAAAAAAAAATAGCGATCATCTATGTATTACTTAGAAAGTGATTATTCCCAGAGAGCCCTTAACTACTGAGCTAAGGGTGAGCTCTCTAATCTCTTCTTTCAGTTCAGATCTTTTAGGTATTTTATTTATTTATGGAAAACACTTCCAAATTTTGTTTTAAAATTAACAACATACTGCAAACACATCTCTTAATAACCTGGACAAAATTGCAGCTTACTATACAAATTAATCAATCAGCCCATGGTTTCTGATTGAATCACCAGCAACCAAAATATGAGGAGTCATCTATGAACCACATTTCATATTTTTCTTCAGACTAGCAATGGACTAGAAACATAGGGACTGCTGAAGGACCTCAGAGAGATACTTTCACTGCCCCGTTCTAAGGGCCTTCGTCACACAATCTGGGTATGACAGACTAATTTGTTCTGACATTCCCCTTTTACCTTCTATGTTCTGTCAATAACTATTTGAGCATCCTGTCTCTTCTTTCACCAGGCACTTGAATGCTTCCCCTTCCCCTTCACCCCACTCCACTGTTGACACTTATAACTTACTCAAAGCCTTTTTCCAGTCCCTTTTCCTTACAACACCGAATACTTCTTAATATGTAACTCCTCTAATTCTAGCCAGAAGGAGAGGGGGGATAAATAGGAAAGGAAGAACATATACCCAAATAATTTACTTTCTGGAAGTATGTCTTTAAACTGGCAATATGACAAACAAATTACAACTAAGGCTGTTTCTGTATTTTCTCTCCCCTTCTGCTACTAACCCTTAGTCACCATGCAATATCACCAGTCAACTCAAGAGAGCATAATTCCAAATTATGCCTCCGGTTCTCTAAAGAATATTTTCTACCATGTAATGATTCTTCCTCCTTCTCCTGAGACATAAGGAAAAAAATAACTGAGATTCCATTACAGAAGTCCCACTTTCACTTTTTAACCTATTCTAGGTCCAATCTAATGTTGTTTGTGTTGAAACAAATACAAAAATTTACCCCTGGATCAAACAGATCAGTTCCAGGAGATTCATTTTGGTCAAAGCAGCTTCCTACTAGGACTAGCACCCTTGGCCGAAGTTGGAGATGAAAGAGTAACAGTTTCATGCTCTATGCTGCAGTATTTAGCAGAAGTATAATAATAATATTTATCTGTTGATACGTATAACCAAGATACTTTTTAACTCCACTGGAAACAAAAAGAAAACGTTTGCTGAATTAGGCATTTTTCCACCTGAAAGCAAACTATATTTAGTGAAAGTTTGTTCTTTACTAACAACAACATATAGGCATTTTTTTAAAAACTATCCCTCCAACACAGAATGTTATTCTTTCACCATATCAAATTTTAATATACTGAATGATATGCACAGCCACATAAATATTTCTAATTGTTCTTTCATAGATGTATTTTCAAAGACAAATTCCACAAAAAAGGTTTCATATACACAAGTTAAACTCATTTTAAATGGTGGATTCCACATGTGCAAAACAGATTTTATGAAGTTCTATATTTGCCAAGAGCAACTCAAAGCAACTTAGGAAAGCACGGGAATGTTCTCTTGGAAAGGTAACGTGGATATTTTCATTACCACTGAGAAGCTAAATGACCCATAATAAATAACTAATTTAATTACTGGGGTTCCAGGATGGGTTGTGGGTTTTTTTCCCCACAAGTTTTTTCTCTTTCCTCCTCCTGCCCCCTTTTTTCAAACGTTATGATGTTATTACTAAGTCAAAATTTTTAATAAAATTAATTATTGGCAATGCTGCTGTATTGCACAAACTATTGAAGGTATTTATGTGGCAGCACTTCCCAGCCTGCAAGCATGGAAAACTTCTCCAAGTCCCGATTCAGCAAGCCACCGCCCATTCCAGTACTATTCTAACACAGTCTGTTGAAATTCATGGAGTGAACCAGTTTAAACACTAAAAAGCCTGATCTCTCAATTTCCACTAAGCTTCTCTGCCTGTACCATCTCCTCTGACTTTACAAGAATGCAAAACTGTCTTGCAAAATATTAAATGTTATTGGCATAATATAATATGAATATACTAAGCCTATTCTTACCACACTTAAAATGCAAAAAAAAAAACCAGCAAGAGAATACATTACTGCTAAAAGTACAGATGAGGCTTAATGTTGTTCATCTAGTAGCTATATTACAATGCTTATCTTTGCCATACATTACAATGCCTACCTCTGTAATATAAGGCTGTCCAAAAAGTCTACCTTGGAAAGCTCTAACATACTTTAAAATCACCATACAAATACTGCTGCAGTGGAATTTACCATCAGAGCAAAGAATTCTGGCCATCTTAACAGTGATAGAAAACACATTTTTTGAAGTGTTAAATTAAGTTTCTTTATAAAAAAAGTAACTAATCTTAAAGCAAGGTTTTTTTTTCATCTTTTTATGACATGAAAAATCCTGGCCTACGCAAGATTGAAATTAAGGTGCTTACATAATACAGTGGAAAATTACTTGAAGCACTGTAAAAAGAAGAGATAGATAAAAAATAGCCCAAAAGTTCTGCCGAGATGCACTTTGTGCATATGGTGGTACAAGACTATGTCAGCAACAAAACTTTCATTATTGTATTCTCTTTGCACTCTTTCAGCAAAAGTGAGTTATAGGCTTCTTCTCTTGAGCACATGGGAGCAAATGAATATTGAATCACTTGCCAGTATTGAAAATATTTGTACACATGAACAGATGGAG